GGGCATGGCTAGTCTAAGGAAGAGAAGGACCAGGGGAGACAGGACAGCAGTCTTCCAATATTTGAGGGGCTGCCCCAAAAGAAGAGGGAGTCAAGCTACTTTCCAAAGCACCTGAAGGCCAGACAAGGAACAATGGATGGAAACTGAACAAGGAGAGATTCAATCTGGAAATAAGGAGAAACTTTCTGACAGTGAGAACAATCAACCAATGGAACAGAAGTTGCCCTCGGAAGTTGTGGGAGCGCCATCACTTGAGACTTTCAAGAAGAGATTGGACTGCCATTTGTCAGAAATGGTGTAGCATCTCCCGCTTGGCCAGGGGGTTGGACTAGATGACCTATAAGGTCCCTTCCAACTCTGATTATCTGTTTATCTGTTATCTTCAAAAATGTAATCCTAGTAACAACTCTTTCTGTACTCTGAAATTGCCGCTTGAGGCCCTGCATAAATTAATCTCAGATATAAAGGTCATGGGCTTTTAAAGCAAGCTACTTCTATTATTTTACACAGGTTGTGTTTGCATTACAGTTAAATTACAGTATGGTTTAAATATGCTGGCTGGAGAATTCTGGGAGTTGAGGTCCACATATATTAAAATTGCTGAGGTGGAGAAAACAGATTTAGCTTAATGCACTTTTGCCTGGCAGATTAGTTTCCTCATAGGCAGAAATAATTTTGTCTCACACTTTTTTCTTCCGAGATGTCAAATTTTAAATAGCTTTATATGGCTTGGCAATTCTAAATTTTCCTTGCACAGCTGCTGCCTTTAACTACAGCTTCGTTTATTGTTTTACTGCAACATGATTTTGTATTGATTTTGTTTGTGTGTTCCTTGTGTGTCGCCACGAGAGATTCTTTTGCAACGGGTTCCTACCGAAAATTGAATTTAAAGCAATCTTACTTATAAAGACGTGATTTGCTGAAAAATGGGTTTCTCTCTGAAAGTTGGTTTTGTGCATCCAGTGCTGCCACCGCACCCAGCTGCTGAAGTGTGAGAAGTTTTGGAGTGCCAGGAATGCACACGGATTGTTGTTTAGAATTACACCAAGGGGAAAAAATATTTTTAAAACCTTGATAATTTTGTTGAGCACCTCTTTAAAGTCTCCTTCAAGTCAAGCTGGATTCCTGCTGACCTCACCAACAAGTCAGTGCAGTTTTCTTGGCAACAGCGTGGAAATGCTTTAGAAATTCTCAGATTTATTTGTTTTTGTTGGCTTTCCACTCTAGCCTACAGCAACCTGACAATCTCCCATCCAAATTCTAATCAAGCCCAATCCTGCTTATCTTCCGGACCTAAACAAGAACCACCATGTTCTGCTACTTTCATTGTCCACACAGTCTGCTGGTTTAATGACTTAGAGCAAGGGTCTCCAACCTTGGCAACTTTTAAGACTTGTCAACTCCCAGAATTCCTGAGCTAACATGACTGGGAGGAGGAATTCTGGGAGTTGAAGTCCACAAGTCTTAAACCTGTCATGTTTGAAGACCCCTGACTTAGAGCATCAGATCTCCCAACCATATATTCCTAACTGGATCCCCGGTTCTTCTAGGATTTTTCAAAGGACCAAACCAGCTCCCCCCATTTCCACCATCTGAATCTGTTAGCCCTTGGGAAGAGAGATGAAGAATCTTGGCAAGTGCGCCTTCTGTTCCTTTAAGCTCCTACAAGAATGATTAAAAGGGGTTTAAGGTGGTCTTCAGCAGGTTCTGACCAGTTCTGGAGAACTGGTAGTGGAAATTTTGAGTAGAACCACCTCTGACTGCCCCCCCCCTTCTCTGCCTCCCATTGAGCCCCAGCTGATCGGCTGGGTCTCCTTTCATTGCCCTGCACAGGAGAACAGAGCTGGAAAGCAGGTTAGTGGGGTGGGGAGGGAATGGGATTTTGCAGTACCCTTCCCCTGCCACGCCCACCAAACCACACCCACCAATCCATGCCACGCCCTCCAAGCCACACCACGCCCACCAAGCCATGCCCACAGAACCGGTAGTAAAAAAAATTTGAATCCCACTACTGGTTTGAGGCCATTAAGATCCCTTTGGGGGGTCGCTCCAAGCTCTAAACCACAATGCAGGTGGGATTGATTTAAGATGATGTTAGCTAGTTGGGTCATGAAACTTCTGCAAGCCAACAGCCAAGCTCAGAGAGCTCCAAGGACCCCACAGTTCAACCCCGAGCTACAAATATCCTCTTCTATAGTTAGCCCTTGACTTACAACCACAATTGTGCCCAAAATTTCTGTTGCTAAGTGAGACATTTGTTAAGCGAGTTTTGTCCCATTTTACGATCTTTTCTGGCCCTGTTTGTTAAGTGGATCATTGCCGTTGTTAAAAGAGTCACACCGTTGTTAAGTGAATCTAGCTTCCCTGTCCACTTTGCTTGTCAGAAGGTCATAGAAGGGGATCACGTGACCCCCTTCCATCATAAATATGAACCAGTTGCCATGCTTCTGAATTTTGGATCACGTGACCATGGGGATGCTGTAAGAGTCATAAGTGTGAAAAAATGGCCATTAGTCACTTTTTTCAGTGCCAATCTAACATTGAAGGGTCAGTAAACAAACTGTTGTAAGTTGAGGCCCGCCTGTATTGGGGTTTACAGAAAGCCAGGCAACAACCAAGTATCATTACGGTCATGAAGCAGAAAGCGATATAATAAAGAAATCCTGATCCAGAATCAAGAACCCAAGAGTTTTCATAGCTAAGCAAGGGGAAAGTCGAAGTTGGCCATGCTGTGGGAACCAAGCTGAATGCAATTTTGGTCACCACACTATAAAAAAAGATGCTGAGACTCTAGAAAAACTACAGAGAAGAGCAGCCAGGACGATTAGGGGACAGGTGACTAAGGCATATGAAGAACGGTTGCAGGAACTGGGCCTGGCTAGTCTAGGGAAGAGAAGGACCAGGGGAGACAGGAGAGCAGTCTTCCAATATTTGAGGGGCTGCCACAGAGAGGAGGAAGGGGCAAGCTGTTTTCTAAAGCACCCGAAGGCCAGACAAGGAATAATGGATGGAAACTGAACAAGGAGACATTCAACCCAGAAATAAGGAGAAATTTTCTGACAGTGAGAGCAATCAACCAATGGAACAGAAGTTGCATTCAGAAGTTGTGGGAGCTTCATCCCTGGAGGCTTTCAAGAAGAGATTGAAATGGTGTAGGGTCTCCTGCTTGGGTGGGTGGGTTGGACTAGATGACCTACAAGGTCCCTTCCAACTCTGATGATGATGACGACGACGATGACAACAACAGCAATAATAATAATAATAATAATAATAATAATAATAATAATAATAATAA